TGTTCCTGCACGCTATCTCTATGTAGCCTCCTGTAACTTAGTGGAAGAAGGGCTCGAAATTCATTTTGGGTAAAAGGTGTGCACTGGTGCACCCACCCTAAATAATTGGGTGCAAAAAAAAATTTTGGGGGTACAAGTAGAATGTCAGCAAAAACTACTTATGTTTTATTTCTAAATAAATGTACTATAACAATGATTTTATTATTTTTGAACCCTTGAAGATAAGCTGTATACTACTACATGTATACGTAAACCTATGAAAATATTTTCTTTCTGTCATACTTCTCTAATGAGTATACAAAGGAAACCCTGCATTGTGGTAGCCAAACAAGCAGGTGGCAGTTTACTGGTTATGCTTGTCAAATTTAGATAAAAATCAGTGAACAGGTGGGATACATGTATATGAACAGGTGCAAGGTGAACTATATTTTTAGGTATTTGTTATTTCTAAATCTGATGTCAGTTACCATGGCATGGAACCAAAACATATCATCAGCTGATAGATGTAGTTAATGAGGTACTTTTATGCATTGTACTCTGGTCACCTCCATCCCTCATGGTGGTGCAGTCCAAAAACTTTGGTAACAATAAGACCAGATATCATGAATGACAAAACCTAGGTTCCTATCCAATCTTACATTTGACTGTTTTCAGTTCTACACTACATGAATGTTACACCATGTGGTACTGTAAATCTTGAAATGTTTGAAACATTTTTTTTAAATCTGGAATTACAGTACTCTAAATCACTGTATATCTACGATGGCAAAATTTTACGATCTGAGAAAAATGGAAATGTTCGCAGAACTATATGTTTGCGGTGGCAAAAGAAAAAAGTCAGCGAATTATTTGTTTGCAGTAATGATAAATTCATGGTACAGAAGTGAACGCAAAAACCGTGAATATAAATGTAACGTGAAAATAAGCGATTTACAGTACACATGCATTGTATGTGTCTACAAGGGGCTTACGATATTGATGCCTTATAAGAGAACATAATCTCCAAATAATAAATTATAGGGTTTCATAAACCAAAACAAACAAAAATGAGGAAACAATTGCTTGACATTAATATCAACTTCCATTTGCCATAAATTAAAATCTATTCATATCACTGAGATGAAAATGACTGCAAACTTCTGAATTTTAATCATGACATAAAGAAAGACCTTTATATAAAATACTGACACCACACACACATATATATTATAACTCTCTGACACACCATAAAAAGGGAACAGTAATATTAGGTGTCTAATTTTGATCGCTATCTTGCAGTGATAAATGACACACTCAGTCTAAACACCTGTAGGTCCTGCATAATACATGGGATTCCTTCAAGGAAGCTCAGAAAACCACCCTCCCATATCCTGTACTATATGAAATGAAAATGATGACAAATGGGCTATTCAAACACCTGAATTACCCACATCGTTTTTTCCCCCTCGCAAAAACAGTTGACCCAAACAACAAAAGACTGTGTGACTAGGGTTTAAGTGTTTGGGCAACGACCACTATTACACATTCATACGATACTGAGGTAAGGAGTTTTCTTAGACAATGATGTCATTCTCTGCCAATCTAGCTGTTAAAGTTTGATCATATGTACCAAAGACTATGTCAACAATGACGTGTGTTCGCTGACAGCGCATTCGTTTGCCCTGGTATTACAGACAGGCTACAGAAAATGCCCTCAAGAAAATGCAACAAAACCTGCACCGCAGTGAGTAGAACTCGCTGAAGTACAATGAGAGTGCTACAGTGTGGTGATATTCCCCAGAGTATACCTAACAGTGTATAATAGAAGTGGGTGTGTACTCCACGTCTATAATGGCCATGGAGCTACGACAAGTGTAGTTGATTGAAGCTAAAAATTACTGTAGTGTTCCTAATGCGGTCCTTGTCCCAGCCCTGCCGGTTAAAAAGCGCCAATTTTAGCTCAATTAAGTTTGGCTGGAAGCGTCTTCCCTCCACGTCAGCAACATGGCTCATACACTTAGTGGTGAAACAGCCTAAGGGGGGAGGGCGGTGCTGCTGCCGGCTTCTGTACCGAGATTTCTAGGAGCTCTAATTAGGGCTGGGAAGCCATACAAAGTTCACAAAATAAAACCGTCACCGCGGATGGCAATCAGGAGAGCCAGACAGAAGGAAATTGTGAAAGCTGGGCACGAAAAATGGGCGGGGACAGCGGGAGACAGACACGTTTCTGACGGGGGGGAGGGAGGGTCCGGGCCCAATCGATGACTGAACAGGGAGATCGCTCCCTGATTGTTATTATACAAGACCGAGGACCGCTACTGCATACTGGGGCCGGCATCAAGGCGTTAGAAAATCCATCTTTCCTTAAAAAAAACCTTCCATCTAGAAGAACTTCTCAGATATCGAGAAGGGGGAATCGTAAAAGAGAATCGCAAGTGTGTTAGGATCGATTACGCTGCACCCAAACGTCACTTGACAGCCGAACCGGTCTGAGAGATTCCCTGACAACTCACGTCTAGCCCAGACTAGCACGGTGGGAGGGCGGTTGCTAGCTCTGCAGACGTTAAACAACATTAGGACAAAACGTCCTGCATTTTTTGCTTTCCCCAGACAACATCTAGACAAGTACAATTGTTATGATAGATCGTTTCTTCGCGCGGAGGCCTGGAGACACATAATTTGGAGCTCCTGTTAGTGAAATAGACATGAGGGAGGGCGGAGCCCATGTCAGTTTCACTAATACTGTTTCTTTAGAAAATTAAAGGCCTGAAATGGTTGGACTTTTCAAGAAACTTCTTGAGAAATTTCTGGGCGTCATAAAATATCAGTGACAGGCCACTAAACACGGGGAGAATTATTCAACAGCCATGTCCATTCCGATGCACCTCAGGTCTTCTCCCGGATTAAATGCCCATCTGATCTCGCATTGACTTCGCGTCCCTGCCAAAAAAAAGATACATCTTGCCTAGTTGGGTTTTTTTTTCGTTCTTCTCCGTCTTCCATCTCTTATTTCTCATTCTGTGGGAATCGGGAATATATTTCTGGTTGCCGCTGGGAGGGGGCAATTTCGTGAGAAATCCTATTACCTGGAGTCGCTATCAGCCGGTGTGATCTCGGCAGTACCGTACCAACACGATCTCTCACTTGTCCCCACACACTACCACCGAGCACACCCATCTGTCTTAAACACCTCAACATATACACCATCCACACACAGTCTTTAGAGAGAAAAAACCACATAAAGTTTGTTAGTTGTTGGGTGTTTCTTCTCCGGACGATAAAATACGAAAAACCGGTTGGCTGTCATGACATGATGCAAAGATTTTGTGATTGACGATCTCTCTGGGCTAAATGTATTGCCACTTATTAAGCAGAGAGGCAGCTCATAGACAGAGGTCACAAACCTGGGCGTCGGAATTAAAATTTGGGAATCAAACCTGACGAGGAAGTTGGTGTGGGGAGAGGGGGTAACGCTACCGGGTGAATGACGAGTGTTCGTCGGCACAACCCCCACCTATCTCCCGGCTACCTACCGCTCTGTTCCCCCAGGAAAACCAGCTTGAATTTCCGCAGTGGATTACCGAAGTCACCTCCCGTTGACATCCTAAAGGCCTCTGTGTGCTCTTCTCGAATCAAGCTAACAAGTAGATGCAGAAGAAATCCTTAAAAAGCGAAGAAAACTTGAAGTTCAGCCGAGCAAAAATCTCGTCTCGTCCGCAGCTTCCACCGCCGCCACGTTCAGAGCCTCGTTTCCGGGTCTAGCTTGGCCTACGCACGCGCACTGACACCAGGTGACGTCATGCCGCGGAACCTCTCACGTGAGGAGACGAGACCACCTTTCAATATGTTCTTCTAAAAAATAATATTTTTGCGGTAATTTTTGCGGTAATATGCCAGCATTTGACTTAGTAGTAGGCTTTTATAGCATTGTTGTACAGTATCACCATAACTGTTTAAAATAACTACCAGTGAATGCGATTATACAGAAATGACTAAAATAAATTTTGAAAACAGAGGTTCCATTTAAAGAAAATTTTATATAACTTTTGTTATAACTTTTCAATTTTCAGGTTTCAGTTCCGCCTCTCTATATAGGATTGATCCAAGCTGAAATGATCTAGGGAACAAAACTTCAATATTTTCGCTCCTTCGGAAAAAAAAAGTTACCGAGAAAATTCCCCAAGTGATATATTGTGGAATGAGTAATAAAACATCATTCTTAAAATATACATATGTAATCACAAAGGAGGAAGTTGCTACAGGAAGTCATCTTGATGTAAAAATGTGTCATAACTTATAATAAATATATTAACATTTTGTCATTACATATTGAGCGTCTGCATGGGGGTGTCCTACGCGGCAACGCTTTACGCTAAATTCAGGAAGATCGACTCTGCGTATGGTGCTAAATTCATACGAGGGCTACGAATTACTCGATATTAGATACATTTCTGTAAGAATTGCGGGAATTGTGTTGTATCTTTTATAATAAAGTTTATGAGTTATGCAATTATTATATCATTCGCCCAAAGAGAGTTTTTTTCGCGTACACACTTTCTAGCACACCGTCTTTTTTTAAAGTGCACATGAAGTTGTTACAACAAATTTAAGTTTATTCAAGTTCTGCGCAGCAAACTTCACACAACTCAAAGCGTGCGTTAGTGAGTGAGTGAGTGAGGGTACCCAAAGTTCAAGTTGTCACCCATTCTCTCAATGAGCAGCTCCACGCGTGGTTCTGGTTGACCTTTGTCCTTGTGTAGTCGACTCGAATGTCGTTCAACCGCGCAGAGTTAAGCGTACCGTACCGTAGATTCTACTACTGAAACAATCACTCTCGTTTAACCCAAAGCCTTTCCACACACAGACATACTATATACCGGTATAGAAAAGAAACTCAAAACGATTGCAAGGCCAAAATACCTCAGATAGCCCACCTGTGAAAGAAACATGGAGTGAATATTTAAAAGTGTGCAAATAATTAACACGATATACAGTAGGCCCGCCCTTTGAACCCTCTTAATTTACCGGTGCAGTTTTACCTTGGGGGCTAGAGCAGTTCTTCTTGTGGCTGTGGCTCGGGCTATGCAACAGGTCTGTTCCTGGATCTGAGTTTGGGTCCAAAACTTTCGAGTTTTGGTACAGTTTTAACTCCAACTTCCGTGCACCTGTGGTAGAACTGTCCGCGATGGCTGGAACAGGTGAGTTAAGGGCAACAGGTGAGGAAACTTGGTGGGGGGGGGGGGAAGGTTGACATTATCTTATATAAGACACAGTAGGTAAAACAAGGCCCCTTGATACAGGCCAATCTCCCAGCATATCTGTCGTTTTAGATCGTTTTTGTATATATTATAAGTTTGTTGTGTGTGACAATTTGAACGACTGTTGGGTTATTTTTTCATTGGTCGTGTATGACCCAATTTAAAAAGCTTACAATCAGAGCGGAACGAACCGAAGCTACATTTGCTTCGAGTCTAGTTTGCGATTAACTCTCCATGGATATGTATAAATATAACACACATGGTCCTGGCTTCGCCATCCTACTAGGGGAGGGGCTATACCAAATTCAACTGAACCCCTCCCTTCTCTCGTTGTCAAACTACAAACTTATAATCGTCACAAAGTTGCAGTCTCTGTGGCAAGATATTTTATAAAAAGATTATACAAATGTATATTTCATAGTACAAGTTAGGAAACAGCACAGAAGACAACGTCCCAGTCCACACGGGTATGACGTAAACATGCAATGACCTCTCCCGTGCCTCGTGTTTGCTCGCATGCCAGCACAAGCGTATCGAGTAACCGGCTTGCGATCGTGTCAGTCTTGCACGCGTACGGCTTGAACCGGTATGTTAATTTTCATCGTCTCTCACAAGTCTCTACCAGACTCCCTGAGTTTGGGGGAAATAGCGGACCTACTGTATTGTACTACTGTATTTGAAACCCGAAATATAACAGCTAGTTTGAGCGGTGAATTATCCGGCCTCCAATGATCTCCAATTTCTGCTTCCGGGTAAGGCCACAGCAAGTAATTTGTATGGATGACATCAGCGCGCACATGAATTTTCAGCTGATTTTGGAAAGAAAAAACAAGAAATTTTGTTGCCCTCTGACAGTGGTCGACATGCCGAAAATGTCCTAAAAATAGTCACCGTACTGATAATGTGAAACACTAGGGGCGGGTACGTAGAACACGAAAGCCCCTAGAATCGAACCCGTCAGCCATGTCAGCTCGAGAACCCAACGCACTAACCGCTAGGCTAAAAGGTCCGAACCCATTAGACAGGTCAGTAGGTGACGCTTGTTACACTGTTTTAATTGGGGTATAACTGAATAAAAAAAGAAGGAAAACTAGAGAAGAGAAACAAGAGTTTAAACTATTTTCTTATTTTTTTTTTACTCAGGCGATGAGTCCTTCTCGAAAAGCCATCACTTTATTACATTCTCGTACAAAATTTTCCCCTTTATGTAACGTTACATCTCGTGTGGTCTGCGAGAAACATTTGAATGACCTCTAAATGACCCTTGCGAGTTAGCGAGTTTCCAAAGTCTAAAAAAGGTTCGAGTAATTTTGTAAAAATAATATCTATAATCCGTAGATATTGTTGAACATTCGGTTCCAAAATGTCGTCATACTCATATGCATAGGGAATTTTCTCGCAGTGTGGGTTGACCTAAAAATACAGCTCATGAGTCAGCATATTAATAATTAGCGACGAATGACATGTACAAGCAAGCGTCGTCTCTCATTGTTTGTTAACAAATGAAATCATTCCACTTGCTGAACTCGCGTCACATCCATATAGCCTATGTTGCAGGCGTTTTTTCGGGCTTAAATTTGTTGTTACAGAAGTTTATGGACTAAATATGAACCTCTAACCAAAACATGACATGCGACCAACATCTGGGTAGTACTAACGTTCTACAAAACTGATACAAAGACCTCAACAATTGACCAAATTGTGCTACAATGTAAGAAAACAATCAGCAAAGAACCAGACTAGTCGGGGACAAATGACATGACTGGGCACTTTTCGGTAATGGCCGACTTTGAATTTGTGCCACGTATTGGGGCGACTAAATGTTTAAAGTAATTTTCCGCCATTCGCCGCAATTATGTTCAAATGAGGAAGGACAAATTCTCCTTGGCGCCAATTTAGGGCGATGGGTTGCATTATCAAGTTTGGAACTACACGCTAAAACACAGTCACCATCAATGGGGCAAATGACGAAGTAAGATAGATAGATGGATGAATAGATGAATAGATGAATAGAAACATACATTTGTACATACATACATGCATACATACACACACAAACATACATACATACATACATAGTATTACATACAGTACATGTGTATGTACATACAAAACGAAAGATAGGAGTAAGATAGACAGAGAGATTTGACCACAAAAGACGTCGACGTTAACGTTATAATAGATGCATAGATAATAGATTGATAAGAATAGATTGTGACAGATACATAGATATAGGTACATCGATATGGGTAAACAGATAAAGATATACCTGTAGACAGACTGATAGAGCTAGACATGAAACGTGCACAATGACGTGTGGGCAACAAAAAACAAAGTGGGGTGTCCTGACCTGGCTGTAGAATTGCGTGTGAACGTTAATCTCCTGTCGCCACGTGAGGTTAGGGAGAGTTCAACCCGGCGCCATCTCTCCGGCCACGGGACAAACGGAAAGGCGTCCACGGGGAATAGTGGGGAGGGGGGCTCGGTCTTGGAACCCACGATAAGTTTGTAGATGAAATCTCTTTTTTTTATATTTATCTATATATATATCTATCTGTCTTGGAACTCAACATAACTCACGACACGAAATCTCTTTTTTATATTTATCTATTTGTCTATCTATCTATCTGTCTTGGAACTCACGATAAGTTTATAGAAGCTAGACATCTCTTTTTTTACATTTATCTATCTATCTATCTATCTGTCTTGGAACTCAAGATAACTTTGTAGACGAGATTCAGAGATTCAGATTTATTGTAATCAACTTGCATGTCACATACAGCATTTCATGATAACACGTTGGAAGTGTGTTGTAAACTTGACAGTCCTGTAACAGAACAATTCAACACATGCAGAGTTCTACGAAGTACTCATCGATTCCAAAGTCCTACCTAGAGCCTACGGACAAAGAAAAAAAACACGAAAAGTCGTTTATGTTTTCTTCAGCAAGTCAGACCAGAAAACCTACAGGCGTTGCCGAAACTAGGCCCCTTGTCGGAGATAATAAGTTGATATAAATGTGAAAAGGTTAGCGGCATCATATCATAAAGCTTTTAAAATCAATCAAAGTCGTCCCAAAATGTTATTTCAGATCCCGAATGCCTCAGCTACCCCTTTGAGATCCTCTGTTTATAAAATCCTTAAGCGAGGCTGTCTCCAGCATGTCTGGTTGCCCAGGTATAGAACACGTCATCATACGTCACAAATGGATGGATTTACGGCATGTGGTTCTGTAGGCAGTGTCTGCCAGCCTCAACTTGGCGCCAGGCGAATCTTCTTATCAGCTGGCACGCAAGAGCCATCTTTCAGTGGACAACAAACATGTCACCTGTTATATACCTGTACATAAACCGGAATTTGATGTGCGGTGAATAAAAAAAAATATAAAGAAACTAGAAAGGTAACATTTGCAAAGCAAATGCATAATGTTTACTTTCGCATATGGTCTGCCCTGTTAATTCGTACTTAAACACATTCATAATACCGTGACAGGAGTCTAAATCCCTCCGGCTATAAAATTGCAACTTGATGTAACTCAACACTAGTTACCAATTTACCATGGTGACAGACGTCTGGTTCAGGTCATTGACCTTTTTGGTTTGGAACAAAAGATAAAACAGAGCAAAAACAACACGTTATCCTTCGTTAAACATTAAAATATTTCATTGACGACCTGAGTGCTGCCTTAGCTTCTGTGAAAGTAGTGAAAACCAATGGATCGTTTAGATTTATACGGTGCAGATAAAACTCCAAGATGCAGACGATACATAGGGTACAGGTCAGGATGGCAATTTAATGTTAACGGATATTATACATACATTCTAGATATCAAGTTTGAAACTGCGCTAAAACACAACTACCGATGGCTACAAATGACGTCAAAGATAGAGATGGATAAATGTCCCTAAGCCTGGCAAATGACCATCTTGCACGGAATCTAATCCCTTTATAGTCGGTTTTTACGCGTATGTAACGAAACGAAGTACATTTCGCCAAAAAAATCGCAGGGATCAGAAAGCATTGCCTAAGTTGGCGTTTTGACAGATACCACATCCTATCCGAATGATCAGAGATAGTGTCTTTGAACAAGGTTATGTTTGTACATATGACTTATCTCCAAGCAAATTTTTCGATGACTGCAAAAACATTATAAAATTGGCCAGGCAGTATCCATTTGCCAGACAATTACCAATATATTTGCTACCCACCTGGGCGGCTGAGGACTCTCTCAGCCTTGATGGCCAGTTCTAAAAGTAACGCTTTTGCCACCAGACATCTGCTTTGAGATTACATATGACTCCGGATCCCATGTAATCACTCCTGATATATGCCTGATTTTACCAGGGATGAATGGAGGAATAGAACCAAACGGAGACATACAAACACCAAACGGAGCGGGTAACACCAATGGTATGTGTGTTACCATTTGTTATACAGCATGCAGGGTGCTATGTCCCTCCCTTTGACGACTTCATACTAGCACATACACATCTAGTTTCTAGCATCTCTGCATGTAACCCAGGGGCCAAGGTAACAGATCTGATTATTTATCCCATTTATGTATTTCAGAAAAGCATTTGACTCTTGAAAACGTGCTAATCGTTAGTAGGGGTTTTATCCCATTTTTATTACCATGTAGAGAATTTTGAATCTCTTCCTGATGAATTAATGGGATAGTAGGGGGTGTCATCCCATTAATTCACGATAAGAACTCCTGGTGGTATAATGGGATAGACTTTTCTACCAATAGCTATCCCATGTAAAAGTAGTTAGTTAGCACGTTTTTGAAATACAATACTTTTTGGCACCTAATAAAAAAATGGGATAAAAAAAACCAAAGCTCAATGTAAACTAAATTTTCCCTATTTGTTCACCATGTCCATCTGCCACGACATCGCCTTCACTGTACGACTTCTCGGTTCTAAGATGCATGGCGATAGCTGTAATGTTTAATGCATGCGCCAGTCACCCAACTTCCTGCGTACATCCCCCCGAGACAGTTCGTCTGTAGTTGCACTTTTTCTCACAGTTTCTATTCTATTAAAATACACTTACTCATTTAACCAGGTCAAAATACACTCAAGTACCTGTTACGTGACTGTTATCTGCAATTTGCCTTAGCAACAAGAACTTGAAAAGCGAATAAGAATGAGAAAGGTGATTTAAATTGAGACGGTGACAGACGAAAGTTGCTACTGCATGAAGTAGCTCATACTCTGGATACCAAAGATATTCTTGTGTAGGAAGACCTCAACAGACCAACTTGCGCTGGATGTTAGTATCAGCATCTTTCAAGAACTTGTGTAAGACTCACCTGAATCTAATGAAATGTCTTGTATGTGTTTGTGATGTTCTATGTGTGGGACACAACACCAGCAACAGCTGCCTGTGTCCCACGTGTCTTGTTTCGTCGCAATTTCAATACATCAAACCATGTTGAGATCCAGGTCCGGGGCTTCCAGAATGTCAGACCAGGGACGGACGGAGAAGTGGGATAAACGTAGTTGTGATGACGATTTTCATGATAATTTCTCAGGTCATCCCGGGCTTCATTCTGCAGTAGAGAAGAACGGACACACAGGACCTCGTGCGAACGGACTTTGTTCGGAGAAGGGTATGTGGCAATGTGCAGTTCGGGACTATATTAACCGTTTTATGTTTTCACTAATCCTTTTTTTTTCTTTTGACTACTAACATCATTTTCTAACCAATATCTTTGATGTAAAGACTAGATTTTAGCATTTATGTAGTTTGTATGTCATTGTTCTATGTTTTTATGGTCCGGGAAGATTAGCCGCGCATTCGTGTATTTTTGTATGACAGCTAATGGACTGAATAAAGTATACAAGTATCCAAGTATCCCGGATAGTCAACATTAAGTAGAAATTCTAAGGATTGTGTATTGTACACTAATCTTTTTTTCTTCTTCTTATGACTACTAACCACTCATTTTCTAACCGCTCTTTTTCCCGGATAGTCAGCATTAAGTAGACGTTCTAAGGATTGTTATTTCGTAGTTGGGAAATCCTGTTCCTGTTACTTTCTAACGACGAATCTAACTATTCAAAACTTCGCTACATGAAGCTGGTACCAGGAAAAGCGCTACATTGGTGCTTTCACATCACTACTAGTATGTAGCACAATACTTTGATGTAACGGTCTGTCACAAAACGCTCATTTTAACATTTTGAATGCAATAATCTCATAATGTACAAAATCCCCGTACAAGGATGCGTAGCCTTTCAAACTCAAGCTATTTATATCCTCCCCAACACTCGATGGTGTAGAACTATGGCTTATCTCCGCCTTTTCGCCAATTTGTAAAAGCAAATGGCGCATGTACTTGACAGCTAGCTTGTCTGTATCTACAGCAGCTTCAATGATAATATATCATGGACCAGGCCATTGAACCTGCTCTAGGATCGGACTGATAGTGTTCGATATCTTTGGGTTCAACGTCCAGACAGAGCCGAAGCCAGGTACAAATGTACTAGCCCTGGAGGGGTTACTGTTTATCTTTGACTCCTTTCATCGAGAATGAGAATGCGGAAATAGGACATGAAAGAGATATTTCGAATATTCACGTACAAGATTCAGAAAGCAATTCTCCTGGATATCTCTTTCTCCTTACTTTTACGTATCTGTCCGTTCCTCCAATGCATGTCTATTTATTTATCGATTGTTAGATTTTATTTTATTTGTAAGTGCAAAACACCAAATAAACATAAAAAACTAGGTACTAAAAGTACTAACAGTGCAGATGACATCTAACCTGGCGATAGGTACAAAGTATTAGTTGATACAAGGTCTGGTTTCAGGTCTAGGTTCACTTGACTATACTTTCAACTGATAAAACATCTGCCTTGAAGTCAAGTATCTAAATTTTTATTAGACATTTTCTTTCGAAATTTCTATCAACTTTCAGCTGTGAAACAGATCCGGGGTCTGTCTCCCTCCGTCAACAAGTTCCTTCACGACGTCTTCGACACCGTCTTGGAAGACGTTCTCAAGAAGAGCGCCAGCGCTGGGTCAAAGGTCATAGATTTTCTCCCTCCCGCTGAGCTGAGCAAGAGGTTTTCTTACGTTTTTATTATTTTTGTTTGTTTAGGTACAAAATTATATATTCGTATATAAAGCTGTATTTTCTGTCGGCATATATTTCTTTTTTCTTATGATCTAGAAATTTCTTCAGTTTTATTCCATCTTACATTTCTTCAGTTTTATTCCATCTTACATTCTCTCTTACATTTGTCGATTTGTGTAAAGATTGCTCTATAAGTTTATTTTGCTAACGATGTGTAGCAACAATTAATAAAGGAAGTGCACTTCTCTTTCCCCTGCTCTCCTGAACTATCTCTTCCGGCATGAAATTCAAATTCAGACTAGAAAGGCCAATATTTGCTTTGGAGCAAATACAGCGATGGGTTCACCACATTTTACCACATGGCAGGGAAAGAATGAGAAACACAAGGGAAAACAATGATTTACATTGATATAACTATAATATGAAGTAAAATACAACTAAAACAACAGTTGGATAGCTATTCCCTACTTTATTGGTTAGGATTTTTAATTGCATAATGCAAACTGTTGATTTTCAAAATAAAAAAAAAACGTCCATGCCCGGCATTCCAATGCTGGAGCAGGAAAGCTTGAAATACCTACCAAAACACTTGAATACAGACATACTGTCAGTATGGAAATGCTTCTGTGCAGGTGTTAATCAAGTTAAATCCCAACAGCCAATCAGCAAGAAGTATAGAGGAAAGCTGCATGCCTATTGGTTGATGCCCTGCATTCCATTGTGATGACTCATGCCCAAACGTGGTAAACAAGGCAAACTAACACAGTAATACATTTGCTATAACACAGCCAAAAAACTCAAATAAAACCATTCTAAAAGCCTGTATCACAATAATTTAAAAAACGCCTAGGGGTATTTGCCCACTGTACCTCCATACCAAATTTCAGGACCTTAGGCCCTAAAATGAAGAAGCTGAATCCATTTAAAAAATGGCAGGAGAAGAAGGAGAAGAAACATCAGAAAAGCAATATGGTTTCACCACACCACTTCGTGGTGTGGTGAACCCATAAAAAAACAGCGAGCATATGAAATGGATAAATCGGGACGTTGGATAGCATGCTGGCAAAAACAGCGTTCAGCACCAAGGACAGGGACTATACAGTTGCCTTCGTGCGATCGAACAGTGTTTAAGACCATTGAAAGCTCAGGTTATGTATTTCCAATTTTAAAACATAAAACAGCGAACACGTGGAATGGATAGATTGTTTACATCATCACGTTGGTTAAGAAGGCCAGTGTTCAGCACTAAGGACAGGGACAGTACAATTTTCCTAACTGCAAACAATGTTCAGTACCATATATATATATATATATCTGTTAACCTGTGTGTACTAACATATTCTCTCAACCATTAGTAAATGTGGCAACGTGTAACCCATAACTAAACACAATGATTCTACCATTCCAGGATAGATCTAGAGTTACGGGACGATCCAGAACCTCACGAGTCTCTACTGGACCATTGCAAGAAAACCATCCAGCACAGCGTCAAAACGGGTAGGACAATTTGTGTACTTTTTAGATGAATGTCGATGTCATATTTCTACTCCTGTTACATATGACAACAAAGAGACAAGAACGACAGTGTGGGCCACCCTCAAGTTGTAAATTACTACAGGGTAGGTAGCTGTGGCGTGGTTAGTGTTCAGTACCAAGGACAGGGTAGGTACTGTGGTGTGGTTACTGTTCAGTACCAAGGACAGGGTAGGTATCTGTACCAAGGACATGGTATGTAGCTGTGGTGTGGTTAGTGTTCAGTACCAAGGACAGGGTAGGTGTTGTGGTGTGGTTACTCTTCAGTACCAAGGACAGGGTAGGTAGCTGTGGCGTGGTTATTGTTCAGTACCAAGGACAGGGCAGGTGATTGTGGTGTTTAGTGTTCAGCACCAAGGCCAGGGTAGTTAGCTGTTGTACAGTTCGTTTTCAACACCAATGACAGGGCAGGTCGCTGCGGCATGCGAAGGTAGTATAATAGTTGGTAGGGTGAAATGCAAGGGCTCTTGCTCACTAACTAGGGCGGTACGTACGATAATGAAAATGCAGATGGAACTACAAAAAGCACTCCTGTTCGACGAAGCAATTGTTTTTCTTTTGTAAATTGATTGACCCAATATCATTATGATAATTTCCACCGTGTTCCATTTTAACGTTTGCTTCAGATCGATTGCAAGTGTCAAGGTTAATGTTACCTTAAAATAAAACCTGTCCTGGTTTTGTTGCGTGACCTCGTTTTTCTCGTGCTGTGGGCGGAGTAGTTTCGTTTCTCTGTCTCTCTGATGGAATGTCATTAGATGGAAAGGTTTTCCCGTGGGGGTTTGTCTGGCTGTGGCGCCAGGGGCGGGGTTTGTAGAGATCTGTCTGGCCACAACGTGCGTGCAGGACGATACCATGTTGTCTACTGCTAACCTGGAATCCAGGCTGTTGCCAGGGCCTACACGGGCCAGCTCCTCGGCACCAAAACCAACATACCCCGATGAAATTTTGCCTCAGCCACCCCCTAGCTACGGAAGGCACTTCAGCACCAAGGAAGGTGATTGGTATCAGGCAAGAAAAATCACCGGGGTGTGGTTAGCTGGCCAGGCGGGGATAGGAGCTTACATTGCCGAGGAAACCCAGCTTACAGCTCTGAGAGGACTTATGTCCAGGTTATAGCATGATTGACAGCCGTACACCTGCAAACGCTATTTTTCCTAATGCCTGCTCTAGAACGTTCCTATGCCCAGCTACTCGAATGTGTCCCGTTTCTAAAAAAAAAACAGATTTAAACCCATTGGCGTACGGAAGAAGGTGTTTAGAATGGGAGTGCGTGGTTAAGCTATTGGTCACGCACAGAAAGAACCTTCACATTCTGCTTCCAAGAAATCGTCGTAACTGTTCCCTTTGGTTTATCTACGTACAGTCAGGAAGGGCTCAACTGTCGGGGGTCTTACCCGGACTTTAACTGTGCGTGTCGCTAAAAGCTTTGGAAGGAACCGCCGTATGTCCTGTTTCACAACACGTGAATACACAAGAGACCCTGGTACATAAATGGAACATCGCTATAAAAGCTGGGTGTCGTAAACTTCATTTGCTGAGCTTACCGTGCAACCTCAACATACCGCGAGCAGAACAGAAGGAAAGAAAAGTGTTAGAAAGCAGAGAAAGATTGAAAGAATTAAAGAAAGAGAGAAGCACATACAAAATTAGAGTGTAAAGAAATTAGTAAAACTACCAAAGTGACCTGAAATCTGACATAGCTTGTGGAAGTTGAAGATTAAAAGAAGCGGTGTTTCTTGCAGTATAACGTTAGTAAGGGGAACCTTTGATCTGCTCATAATTCTCTCAAACACAACAACGTTTCCATCGATTTCTTGCCACCGTAACAACATTTAGTGATATGATCGGATATGAACAAGGTTGGCACCGCTCCAAAACAGATTACATGTGTGATATACTGCGATTTGTATCTGCTTATAACTTGGTAAGTTCCTTGACCCGGTCAGGGTTTTCCCTTTTTACTCATGGCTAGCAGTCATCAACAATTGATAATGCATACCAGAAAATACCAAGGACACGCGAGAAAGAATGAAGATAGTGGAAAGTGAGCTTTAAAATACAATCGTGCGGTTCTTGGTATATATCAGCTTGATTACAATGGACATTACGATACCGGCTTCCCTGCTTTCAAGGGTATTTTCAGAATCAGTCTCTCAATTCTTAAATAGTTAAACATACTATTATAATTACACCTTGTATGAACAACCTTACGATATAATGCTATATACTGGAGGCGCACTTTTGACAGTCCTTTTTTATGATTTATGATCTTTCCCAATTTTCTTGTGCTATGCTGTCTGCCTATACCACCCACATACATGTAACAGAAGGGCAATATTTCAGAAATGACACGACGATATAAAACATGTATGAACGTGCCGCCCCCCTCCCCCCAGGGCACCCGATGTTCCTGAACCAGCTGTACCAGGGCCTGGACCCGTACGGACTGGCGGGGCAGCTCGTCAGCGACTCCCTCAACACCAACTTGTAAGTACTACAACGTTAGGTACTTGCCAAGCAGAGGGTTGGGTTTGGCTTATTTTTTGGCTTTAATCGGGCTTTCACTTTTTGTACTGGTATTTTTTGTACCCGCCCAATAAAAGAAACCAGAACAAAAAGAAAGCAGATAAAAAAGCCAAAACTAAGCCTAAGCCCAAATTTCTGCTTCGAGGGTAAACTTTAGGTAGTCTCTTCTACACTCCTTGGGATGGCGGACACTGCCCTCCCAATGGCACTATCTTACGAATTTGGTACTGTCTTGCAGCCACCAAAACGATCTGATGCTCTTGGAGATTATATTAAAAAAACTCCACAAAAAGCACGTTTTAAAACCGCCCTGTTTTCCTGGCTGAGAACCCGACTGGGTCGCTCATACAGAAGGTCACCGCCTGTTTCTTAGCTTCTCCCTGACCCATGTGTGCAAAATGCCTAGTCAACAGGACGTACAGGCGACAACCCCAAGTTCGGGCCACTTCCTGGACGACATTAATTACAATATCTCCATTTCGTCTGTCAGCGGAAGAACCTTAGATCCCCTCCTAACTTCATTAGGTCATATTTGCGTCAAATTTGGGGACATTTGGAGGACGTGGACGTCACGAGGCTTATGTCTGCCGCACCACTTCCGCGCTGAGTCAGCAAAGTGCCGCCATAACGGCTCCCACTCCCCGGCACGAGCACTGCGCTGACGTCAGGACGAGCTATTTTCTGTCGCTACTTGGTCACTATAACTCTTCATCCAGCCTCTTTTTCTGAATTATGTAATCATGCGTCTACTGATCTACTGGTTGTCACAATTTTCTAGACATAGCAAAAAGCAAGAAAGGAACTTAATAAACTATCGTTGTTTTTTTTTTTTGCTTCATAGCTTATAATTATTTTCAAGACAGTAAGGCTGCAATTCGTCTTTGTACTTTCGAGACTCTTCCCTTGCTCTTGCATTGCCGTGGTTGCATACTATGCACCCTAGATCAGTTCTCTTATATTGTGCAGCTGTGTTTTCTTCGTGGGGTGACTGAACTGTGCCAGAAGTACATAATATAATTGCTGTTTGCCTAGTGATTTCCCAAACGTCGCCCACGTGTTTCAATTGCCGGCGCACAAGGTTGTTTTTCCCCACATACGTACGCCCATGTACGTCCTAGCCTGGGAGCCATACGTTTAATTCGGGGTAGCGAGTGCAAGGAGCCCCGTTGCAAAACGGATGGAACCCAGGCTATATCCGTCCACGACACTGCATCCAAAATTTCAGGGTTCCAGCCAGCGCCCGTTTTCCCGTCAATTGACGGAATTTGACAGCAAAAATGTTGCGTCTTTGCGTCTTTTTACTCTATAAGATTGATAGTGCCAACCCTCCCGTTTTTAATTGGGGTATAACTAAAAAGGAAAAATGTACGGGAGAAATAAGGGTTTTAACTTTTGTCTTTTTATAGCTTTTTCAATGGAGACTTATCCGTTTTAATTGGGGTATAACTAGATAAAAAAAGGAATGAAAACTAGAGAAGAGAAGATCCTTCCTAGAGCTCTCAAATTAGCAGAAAGAGAAGAGTGATTCGTTAGTTTGCTTTCAGAGCAGCGTTATCCATTTAAGACGTTATTTATTTGTATGGCCTAATAACTTGCATGTAATAGATTGATTCCAATTCCAGAAATAACATAATTGATCTTGAGTTTTTCTGAGAAGAAGATTTTTTATTCAAATAATTAATTCCCCACGGTCTTAGCATGCTTGCTTGATGTATATCTATATACAATACTTAATCAGCCTTAATACCTTCGCCAAGTATGTTTTCAGTGCCGTTTGCAGCTATAGGGATAACTCTGGAAGCTATGGATGTACCTGAATGGTATTTGGTATGCGGGAAGGTATTGGAAAAATAAGGAGTAATGTCGATTATTGACCTCCTAGCGTCCCTCTACAGCACTGCAGCAGAGCGTTCGGAGGTTATGTACCTCATATTCAGGACATGCTATCCTCATATTTTTGGGGTGCCAGATACCTGTGAAAGAAGAAAGAAATGTTGATACGTTTGAGCCTCCTAGCAGCTTTCCTGGATCTGCAGGGGTCTTTTTTCGTTGTTGATGTATTCTTATGATTTTGTACATGTCTTCCTTCCTGCTAGGCATACCTATGAGGCGGCTCCCGTCTTCGTGCTGATGGAACAGGAAGTGGTCAGGAAGGTCTGCAGCCTGATTGGCTGGTCCGCGGGAGATGGCCTTATGGGAGCAGGTAAACCGGAAATAGATAGTACAGAGATGTCTAAGGTGGGAGGGCGGGACACTGGGTTGAGATACACTATGGGAAATCATAGGCAAGTGTAATATCTATGTATTCACCCAGACACATTTTGTACCTATTGTTCCCCTCAATATATAGTCCTTACAAATTGGTCTACCTCGGCCACGGACGAGCTCGAGCCTAAGACTTGATTCACACCTGACGTTACGAAAACTGCGTATGTCAATTGTTTTTCCTGCGTGTAAATCGGCCGGCTTTGACGTACGAAAAAAACGTACCTTCGTATCGTACGCCAGTCCTCGACGTAGCGTACGATCTGAACCTACCTCCTTGACGTACGTCAAAGCAAGCCGACTTGAGAGCAATCAATATAAACCTAAAGTAATTATGAATTTCAACAAGTTAAACCGCACCACTGCTACGTTAGCCCATCTGGATTAAGCATTGAAGTTGGTTCCTGGTGATTAAAACTTCCTCAGAATCAATACCGTATCGAAGGACGCGAATGGCGCGCCGGTTCAGGCTGTGTCGTGGGATAATGAACTTCATCCTGCGGACGTGTTCTTTAATCCCGTTACTAATTCAAACACTGCAGTCAATCATGCCAACATCGAACGGACTTCGATACTTCTGTACAGCAGTATAACATCTTGCCGCAGCCTCTACAATGATTTCATTAATTTCCTTTTCATATCATTTGTTGTACGAGTAATCAGTAGCGATACTGGATTGTATCCAGAATTAGACTAGATATCACACAGCTTATCTCAAACTAAACTATTGATATTGTTTCTCTATACCGGACGTCCCCCTTTCATTTTGTCTTATGTTGTAATTATTATTTTATGTCCAGTAGTGACGTTGATATAAGCTATTTCGCTTACAAGTGTGTCACCACTATGTATTGTTCTGTTTAAATGTTGAAATAAAAACAATTGCGTGGAAACAATACTGTTGACATGATAGTAAAGATGTAGACTTTCAATTCAATCAATTCTTTATCATCATATCAACACTACAGACATACATATAAAATTATAATGTTGCCTGAATGACATTGATATTTACAATCATTATATCAAAATAAACACATAACTTTACATTGCGTTACATACAAATATACATAAATATATACGTATACTTCTGATATGAACTGTACATCCCAGACATAACACGTTTTATAGTATTATACCGTCTGTTTGTAGAGTCTGATAGACTGATGTAGGAAAGAGTTCTGAAGTCTTTTTGTTCTGGCTGGGGGGATGGAGATGGTGTTTTTGTTTCTAAAGAACGCCCAGGAGCTAATGATCTTCCTACATTTGCTACTTTTCAGGCGGTTCTCTACTGAACATGTACGGTATCAACCTGGCCAGGCACAGGTACTTCCCCGACCTGAAAAAGACCGGCATGCATAGCGGGCCCAGACTGGTGCTGCTCACGTCAGAGGAGGTACGGCATCTACTTGTTTGTTTATTTGTTTTCCTCGTACTTGCTTTGTTAATCTGCGAATGTAACCCCATTTGTACTTCATCAGTGGGGACTCAAGAAAATCATTTTGGAGCGACTATTCCGCTCTTTAATCTCTGATTGGCGGAAGCGTATCCGCCAATCAGAGCTAGAAGAGCTGGAAAAAAGGTAGACCTTCTAACACATATAGTGTTCGGATATCTAATTGAAGAAATATCATTTTCTTAAACAATCTGTGTTTAAACCATACTGTCTGCTCAAAAACACATTAGAAATATGTATAGATCTTTTATGTATGTAGTCCTTTTCCGTCTTCGTATGTCAGTTACTTCCGTCACGACCGTCTACGTTTGCAATAACGGTTCTTTTAATACAAGAGTAGGCTGTTCATCTGTCCGCATTCTGGCATTCAAAACGTTTGAAGACACGAATTTCCCTGTCTTGGCGGAAATTAAGTGTGCAGTCTTCGTGGCCGTATGTGAGGTATGACGTCACGTATGACGTCATTTGTGGAGTAACAGCGGTTCCGTGTGATCTGTAATGGCTCCTCCCACTCAGAGTCTTCTGACAAAAACACAACTTAAAACGTTATGCACGATGGGTAACGCCGTCATAAGCGCACATTCCGGTAGCACACTCAATCGCTGTCCTGACGTTACGCGCTACCATGCACGTTTATAACGTCACAGAAGGTTGTGCTTGATGAGTTAGAGCTTCCTTCCCAACGCAAACAAGGAAAAACATTCTCTCCGAAAAGGTCCCCATCTCCTATATACGTTTATAACATTACAGAAGGTTGTACTTTGAGTTAGAACTTCCTTTCTAACACATATGAGGAAAGACATTCTCTCCGTAAAGGTCTCCATCTCCTATATACGCCTATAACGTCGCTAGAGTTTATTTCATTACATATTTAGCTGTTAGAGATGTTTTTATGGCTACAAACTCATATACGGAAAGAAATCTCCGTAAAGGCCATGTTAAGTTTCAGACAACCTGACACTAGCCTCGTATCCATTCCTCCTATTCTAGGTTCAGTTCGATTCTCTGATCACTTCCTCGCAGCCACTGTTGCTTCCAAAACCGTGCTTCATCCGGAACCATGTTCAGGCACGGTTTTGAACGGTCCACGCGTATCCAGAACCGTGCCTAGGGCAAATCTACGCTCTCGAATACAGCTACAGAGAGACTATCCAGAACCGTGCCTGGTCCTAACTCTAACCCATTCAGGCATAGAACTAGATAGACACGGTTCTGGATACGATAGCCCCCAGTTTCTATTCTCCGCTGCTGTCTGCGGTCCAGAAGTCCCATCAATCACCGCGGCTTCCGGTCCTGTGGGCGGGACCGTCACGCTATCCGACCGTTTTTCATATTTCACAGGGTTAGGGTGTCAGGAGTTTCCCCGCGCACGATACGTGCGGTGAAAGCTATTCTAGGACCCGTACGAGATCTATTTTCCTGATACGGACTCCCGTTACAAGGCCTCCCCATCTCTCGAATGGTTATCTCACATGTGCAGGACACTCTGCCGTTATCTGGTCCTTGGGTCTGGAGAGGAAAGTGTGGCGACTAGATAAGGAAAAACGTTGGGGTCCATCTTTAAGGGATTGACTCGTTCACATCTTAAGTGCCTGGCATGTTTCTGTGGCCGTTTCGTACAGTAAGATAAACTACGTAGTCCTGCTTACGAGTCTAGTGAAGTAGGAAGGAAACCAGAGGTGAAGCAATGGTACTTTTTCAGTCTAGACGTAGTGCGGCTTTGCTACAGCTCGCGTTTTCAGCCAAACGAATGGGGTCACCCCTGCCCTTCTTGATAAATGTGCAGGGGTTTAACACACAAGGCTAACGTCTGAACGCCAAGATATTCTATAGATTGCAATACACAGCAAACAAACGTGTAGATTCACAACTTGATGTTGAATACATCCGTTTATTATTTGACAAGGTTTGCGAAAACCTCAAAACCCTAATGGACGAAGGAGGCGCCTCACGGAAACGCACTCAAACAAGCTACATGTATATATCCGTACATCTGCTTGGTAAAGATATCATTATTATGCTGTATCACAGTCCTGTTTAAGATACTAGTAGATGTTTTCAGAATCTTTACATTTGGCGTTTTCTCCTTACCTCACCACAGTACATGCACCGGCAGTGTCCGGTCTTTGTGCACCGCTCTATTCACAGGGTAACATAGTACGGTGCCGTTACACCATTCAGAAAACAATCCTCTATCCAATTACAAAAGGACATTATACACAGATGTCCTTGCTCTATCCTTGGAAGAAAGCGTGATCATGTCAGTGACAAAGATTGTCAATGTCTTTCTGTCACCTTGACAACTGAAGATGCGAAATCTGCATCATTCGCATTGCGCACATCTGTATACAAAGTGTGTCCGCTGGGTTCAACACATCCATACAAAGATCATCATTAAAACAATTTAAAAAAACCTGTTTCTCACACTCCTACCATGTTGTTAGTTGCAACGCTCTTGTATCAACCAAGCCTACTAAAGCAGTGGTTCAGTGGCAAAGCATCGGTACTTCTGGATCAGACGTTCAAAAATTCGAATTCCAACCGTTGCCTTTCCCCCGATTGTCACGCTACTACAAGGGTTGCCGTCTGCAGAACGAGACTGTATGCCATGTTCCTCCGTTAACTTCACTTCTGAAAAAAATAGCTAGGGGGTTTCCTCATACATTGCTCTAGCGTCTGTCCTTTTCTCATGCATTGCCGGTGAATAGAATTATTTTTTTACAGTAAGCCAAACTGGCTCAAGATACGACATGTCCGTTTGAAAACCTGTCACAGGTCAACATTCTAGTTGAAAGTTGCCACGGCAAAAAAAAATCCAGCGGTACAAGCGTCAACTCACGCTATAGCTTCGGACACAGTAACCACGAAATCAATAATCCGTTCCAGGGAAGTGTGATTCCTGGCATTCCGTCCCAGCAAAGTCAAACTGTCCAACACATTTCACAGGCGGTGGGGCGTGGGAACGCGGCTTTCAAGTGGAACTCCGACCGTCGCCTTCACGAAAAAAAGGCGCGCGCAAAGTGGCAAAGTTTGGAAAGAAACCAACTTCGCCCGAGCTTGTTCCTGTACTCCTGTAGCACTGATCCCTCCTCTCTCCTCTGTCGGCTAGTTTTCACTTCTTAATTGCGAACCATCACGCTGAAATCTTAGAAGATCGGATCCTTCTCGCTTTCCTTTGAAGTTCTTAGATGGTGTCTTGAAAATCCCCGGCTCTCCATCCCGCCTCCTGCACGCACGCACCCGTCCAATCAATGCGGCATGGAGACCCCTCGTCACGCCCTGTTTTCCGGCTTGGCTTCGCTCCTAATGATCGCCCAAACTTCCCGCCGCCGCCTGACGGCTCTTCTGGATGCGTCTCCACGTGTGCGCGGTCATTACGTATTCCGGTGGCCGCTTCGCAGTTCTCGGCGTTCCCCCATGGGCGTAAGCTGGCCGGGGCGCTCGGCGCAGAGCCTGCCGTGTCAGGAATACAGTGCCGGTCGCCCCACAATGACATGCCTTACACGTCCGTAACAACCCCACATTGATCTCCCTAGTCTCACATCCTCGTTACATGTCCATCTATGACGTCATCTCCATGGCAACCGCGCGTGAGCCGAATGTGCGGCGTGTGGCTGTGCATGTTATTAACTTTATCAGGACTTAAGAAGACGGATACTGGGACGCTTTTGTATCCCTCTTCCCAGACGCCTACTTCGATCGCTGGAAGATCTATAGCTCGCAGTGTAAGTTTGGGGCACTTGTTTTATTGCCTAAACGCGAAGCTCAGCCAATACGTAAATCCCTGAGCAGATGTGGAGGAGGATTGCCGTTTGTTATATCTTCTCCCGTCGTTCCTCTGAGAGAAGGCGAAGCGCCATAAAAGTTGACCAGAAGTGAGGCGGTATAAATCTCGCGCCGTCTCCTTAGAAATGGCCGACACGCACCCTTTCCTTCTCTGGCGGGATAAAACTTCTGACGGGTGATAAAACGGCGGGAAGCAGCGTTAACGTCTCCCGCGGGGTGTGCGACCTGCGCGGGTTGAGACGGATGTGTCCCGGGGCGAGGACCGCGCGCACCTCTCGCACACACGGCATTACTCTGCCCGTGGAAATTGCTCCTAATCCGAGAGAACCTCCTCCGCGCCGATTGCCGAGTCTCGGAGGGACCTCAGGACGGCATCTTGTCAAATGAAGCCAGGCTTGGCGCCCTCAAATTCATCCGAGGACGACACCATATGTCTGTTGGATCGGGGGTTTGCTTGAAAACTCTTCCAAACCCCTCTATACACTTTCTAACAAGCCGTTTTGCGCATTTTGTCCACACAAGAAACTTTTACCCCACTTTACAAATGATATAACCTTTATACGTACTGTAAGTCTTGACATATTCGCGGTGGTTTCATTTTCGCGGGTATTGCAATGACTTGTCCACCGGCGACAAAATCATTTAGTGCTTGATGTAATCTGTGTGCCTTCCGCGAATGCCTCCTCCATCCTCTACCACAAAATTCAGTCTCCCCAAACTTAGAGGGATTCCCAGTATCTGTCCCTGTCCCCTGGGACACAAGTGATGACGACACGTCTCTGATTTGTACCCAATCGGCGCAGTGCGCATGGTTAGCTTGCAGAGCGCATCCTTCCTTCATAACATTTCCACACACATTACGGTAATAAAAGTCCGAATTGCGGCCTAATGCCGAGTGTTCGGCGTGCCCGCACTGCCAAAATGTGCGACAGTAAAGAAACCGTCGTCCCTTTGTGACCAAGCTGTCGTAGGAAAAGTCATTTATCAAATTTCCTTACTAAGGATTAGTTTTATTTGCTATAAATCTTCGGTAAACGTGTCCTGCAGCGTCCTAGACCATCTTCATTTTGGTACCTCCTGCACGTCGCCATCCATCATTCCTTTCCACCCTCCAACATGCCTTTCTTTTTCTGCCCAATAAACCTGTATCGTCT